TCCTGGCCAGGGGTGCGGAACTGGCCCAGGCCCTACATCCTCTCCTGGGGATCTCAGTGCTACTTCCCCAGAGTCCCCGTCACACACACACCTTCCTTGCTTGTCCCCCTCCGCGTTCAGAGTTGAATAGTGTGATGGGAGTCATCTGCTGGGGAGGGCAGGGGCGAAGATTTGTTGCCACTTCATAGCCATTTCCCCCAAGAAAAAGCTCTGCAGCAGCTCCTTGTTTGGTCCGGAGGTGGGCGGTCTGAGCCCCAGGAAGATGTTTGGGCCTTGTAAGTCTAGGGCTGCCCCAGCTTAAGATCCCTTGCTGGTAGCTACATGGTTTCCGGATACAAGGAACTGGGCCTGCGTGGTTGGTTTATTTCCATCCTGTTTGCCAACAGGGAGGTTAAAACCATTGGGAGGACAGAACACTTGAATCTGAAAGATCACAGAATCTGCAGCCCCACGAGCTGTAAGAGGCCAGGCAAGTGACTGTACTCTCTGAATCCCAATCGCCCCATTTGTAGAAACAGTTGTAACAAAAGAACCTGTCTGCTCTCCTTGGTATAAGTAAATAATACAGGCAAAGCAGTCAGCTGGCTGGCCATAAGCACTCAGTAAGGGACAGCCACCTGTTTCTAGAAGTGGTACAGCAGTACTGCCCAGAGCTAGAGTACTCACATGTAGCGTTTGACGGATGTTTTCACATTCATCCAATTTTTGCTTATTCACTTGGTTCTTCATTCGTTTAACCCATTAATGCATTCAGCATATATTCTCTGGGCATCTACTCTCGTAGTGTTCTGATTTTAGTCTTTGTGCCCCCGAGGCGAGCACAGATTCACTGGGCATCTACTACCAGTCAGTTCATCCCTGTCCAAATGTATTTGTGGGATCCAGCCCCCAGGGGAGTTGCGACTATCTTCACAAGAACTGACGGAGTCTAGCCTGGCAGGAGGCTTGCCAGGGCATCTTGGCCCTGTGGCAGCTGGGGCTTTGGAAACGGTTTGCTGCAGCTCTGCCTCCTGTGGCTGAGGGGCCTGAACAGAGCAGACCCCAGTAGTGTTTCAGCAGCCCTGAGTCAGCATACATTTCCACAGTATTTTTGCTCCCCTTGCCTGTGGAGAGGAGTGCCCCCTTCTCCTGAAGGCCCCAGTCAGCCAGCTGGAAGCTACTTTCTCTGTATTAGGACACTTGTCTCCCAGGACCAGCCTCCTTTGCTGGTCTGCTGTGCTTTGCCATGCCGGAGTTCCTGAAACAATCCTGCTGTTGCTTTTCAGGCTCCTCTCACCTCAACACAATGTTCTTGTAGCCCCGTTCCCTTCCGACCCTCACTGTGCATCTCAGCACCTGGCTCCTGTTGGGCTGGAGTGGCCACACCGCTACTCATACTTGTTTCGGGATCATCTCACTCCTCGGGGCCCCTCCTCTTTGTACCCCTCCCCTGCCTCCAACTTGATGCCCTGTCTGCTTGGGCTGTGTGACAGAGACGTTCCTGGGGAGGCAGTCCGCTGGACGTCTGAGGGACAGAGCTGCTTCACACAAACACACTTCACAAATAGACATGTCCTGTGTGATAAGGCTGTGATGTATCGTGCCATGGGAGCATGTGGTGCAGAGCAGCTTGCTCTTCTTCCAGAATCAGGGCAGTCTTTACCAGAGGTGATGTTTGGGCAATCTTAAAGGATTTAGCTAGGTAGACAGTGGGAGAAAGGGAATTCAAGTCAAGGAAAATAGTGTTCATAAAAGCCTGAAATTGCCTTATGTTCTTAGAGAAAATGTAATGTAGCGTGAATGGGGAAAAAAAGGGGAGTATGTTATTTGGGTTGAGGTTCATGAGTAGCAGAGAGAAAAAGTGAGGCCAGAAGCTAAACAGGACCTACTCATGTGGGCCTTGAAGTCCACCATGGGGGAGCCTATGAAGGGGCAGGACATTCACATATATACATAAGGAAAGTGAGACAAATGGCTGCGAGGGAATGGGTTGTCTCGTTTGTCCTGTAGCAGTTCTGTGAGGCAGACGGGGTGATGCCGTTATCTACTGGTTACACCTGAGAGAGAACACTGAGGCCCGAGCACTTAAATATCTTGCCAAAGGTCTCAGAGCCAGAAAGCAGAGGGCCTAGGACTCACCTGGCTTTCTGGCTCTGAACCTCTTTCTCCTGGGCATGCTGCCATTGTTAACAGAGTCTTCTAGAAAGCTGCCTACAGCTAGGTAGTGGGTGGATGCTGACAGAAGCCACGGGAAACAAATGGTCATTGATATGATCTTGTTGAAGGAGTTTTAGCCCTGGGATTTTGTGGCCTGTGGTGTTTGGTCTCCTGACCTAGTGCACAGACAGCAAGAAGCAGCAGGGAGCTTGGAGCTTCCAGTTCTGCATTTTCTTGACAGACTCCATTCATCAGGGCCTTGCTCATTAATTCAGGACAGCATCTGCTGCCTGATACTGGCCTTTGTCAGGGGCTTGTTTCTGCAAGATCCGGTCCTCCAGGTTGGTCAGCTCTGTTGTCCGCAGCCCCAGGGTGAACCCTGGCAGTCAGAGGCAAGCCCTTTCTCTGTGTGCAGTTTGTAAAATGAAATAACTTTATTTTTAAAAAACAAAGATAACGTCTAGCAATACAGAACATCAGCTTGGAGATCAGGCAGAACTGGGTTTTCTTTCTGCTGCTGCCATCTAGCTAGCTGTGGAAGTTATTTAACGCAGTGTGGGCCTCAGTTTTCTCATCTCTAAAATGAGCACAGTCAAACCTCCCTGAAAAGACTGTTGGGATGATTAAGAAGAGATTATGTTTACAGAGTGCATTGGCATGCTGCTTGGATTTCATACATCTTCAATATATGGTGACTTGAAATCCTGCTGTTACTGCTTCCCCCACTGCCACTGCTGCCATTACTGTTAAAGACTATTTGAAAACCAGAGACTATAAGAAAAAGTATTTTATAAACCTACCATCGCAATGCAACTATTGTTATTATTGGTCATATTTCCTTCAAATCTTTTCCCCCACAACTTCAGAACATATCAGATTTTATAGCATATTTATTTTATAGCCATATTTATTATTTTTCCTTTGTTGTAGGTACATTATATTTAGTTTTAATACAAATTTTCTTGATTATGAGATCACTGTATATAATGTAGGAGAGCATAGAAAAAGCAAAAGGAAAACCATACTTATAATGCATATCTCATTCCTAGCCCCGAGGCTATCACTATGAACTTTTTTTTTTTAAGATTTTATTTATTTATTTGACAGAGAGAGAGAGAGATCACAAGTAGGCTGAGAGGCAGGCAGAGGAGCCGGGGGGGAAGCACGCTCCCTGATGAGCAGAGAGCCTGGTACAGGGCTCAATACCAGGACCCTGAGATCATGACCTGAGCCAAAGGCAGAGGCTTAACCCACTGAGCCACCCAGGCACCCCTCACTATGAACTTTTGATGTATCTTCTTCCAGTCTTTTGTTTGTGTTTTTTTAAAGAGTCGAGATCATACCACATATACAGTTTTTCTGTGATTTTTCAGTTCATAGGGTATCATGAGCATTTTTCTTTATTGTAAGCATTATTTTCCAAGGCTGCGTAATAGTCCACCAGATGGATCTACCATAATTTACATAAGCATTCCCCTACCGTTAGAGATCTAAGTATTTCCCAATTCCTTAATCTAAGCAGCTCCCTCTGGCAGAAGCTAGGTCCCCAGCCTCAGTGTCACCAGGAGGCATATAGTGAACTTGTGCTGTGTGTATGGTCCTGGGTGGGGGATGGGGGAACCCATCAGACAACTCAGGCACTGAGCCTCAAGGGAATGCAGAGGCTAGACACCTGGAAATATTGACTAGGGCAAAATATGCAGGTGTTTCTTTGCCAGAAACTGTCAGGGAGTTCACGTAAATGTGGGTATCTCTGTTTCCTCTAGAGGCTGGGATCTGGAGCACACAGCTTTTACAAAGACAAAAGTCTCAGAAGCTTTGCTGACCCTTCTCACCTACCAGTGTGTTAGTAGGCCTCCGATACTCAAAGGGCTTTTGAGCCTGTTACCTTGACTGTCAGGGGCCTGTGCTAATGACCTTTGAATATCATTTCCAAGTGGTTTTCACTGGGAAGGGGTGAGAAGCTACAGCCTCAAGAAAGGAACTAGCATGAGCCTTAGGAAGATCAGGGATGCTCTAGTCTTTGTTTTGATGCACGCTTGCTCTGGCACCCAAGGTAAGTTATTTCCTCTTACCAAGCCTCTGTTGTCTCCCCACAATGTAGAAAGATCGGACTAGATGATCCTCAGGGCCCTTGCAGCACTGATGTTCCACAGGGACCTGAAGCCTTCCTCTCGCCAGGAGCTGAAGTGAGCATCCTGATAAAGGTCACAGGATGCTTCTCCAGAGTCTAGAGTTTCTTTTAATTAGTACCTGGGGAAGCACTTACGCATTTATATTCCCACTTACTTCCTCCTGGTAGCGGCTGGGACGAGTAGAGACTGAAAGTCAGGAAGTGCTGCTCGCTGGGTGGAAACACTAGGTTCAGAACCCCAAATGATTCTTCATCTCTTACGTTGTAGCTATTTTTTCTTTTATGTACTTGGTTTTTTCATTCATTCTTTCACTTAGCGGATGTTAACTGAGTCCCACACCTTGTGCCATCCAGGCCTGTTCTCAAGACACATGCAGTCTATCGAAGAGACAGGAGCAGGTATAAAAGGCAACAAGAGAATTGCTACAATGGGGTACAGATAAGTTGCATAATGAAGGGAGTACTTGAGTCCACTTAGAAGCAAAGGAGTCTCAGTGGACACATTGAGCCTTTAAAGGATGAGTGGAAGTTTTCTAGGCAGTTAAGAAGAGGGCATTCCAAGCAGAGGAGCCACATGTGCAAAGGTCCTGAGGTATGAAAGTACATGTCATGTTCTTTGTGAGCCTGGAGGGTGAAAGGGGCAGTGAGCAGATGAGAAAAAGTTGAGTACTTTTCTTTGGACAAGGAATTTTCTTTCTCTAATATAACTTTTTTTTTTTTCTTTTTTTAGATCTCTTGTGGCTCGGAGCATAATCTGGCTGTGATTGGTGAGTAATTAGTATACTGAGAACTATGTGTGTTCTGAAACTCTGTGGCAGAGTTAGAGAAGACTTGGTTGATCAAAGGCCAGGGTACCTCTGTGTGTGTGTGTGTGTGTGTGTGTGTATACACATGTTGGGGGAGATTCTAGAAAATATGGAAGTCTTTGGTTGCTCAAGACTTTACTAGAAGCTCCTTTGCTAGAAATTTCTATCCACATCACTGAGTGTCTTTTTAAGGTACCTAAGCTGGCCTCCCTGCCCCAGGCAGTGGCATTTGAGGGTATTAAAGATTTTACAGATGAATGATATCATGTATAGAAAGCCAGACATAAAAGGGTGAGAAGACTGGGCTGCTCTTGTTTCTCTGAACAAATATCTTACTCCGGGTTCTTTCCTCTTTCTTGGGAGTAAGGGGCTCTGCTCACTGCCTCCCACTGCCTTGTATTCCATGGCACTCGGGAACTCCCAGATGAAGTCAGCCTTCTGACTGGTTGAGGTTTCTTCTTCATTGATTCTGGATAACCAAGGTTCACTCTTTTTATGATTAGGCCTATGAGTAATTCCTTCAAGAAGCTTCCTCGTTACTTCTCCAGGTAGACTAGTATCCATGTCACTGCATTCAAGAGGCACATCTGTAGGGCCCAGCTGCCTAAGTGCAATACAGGCTTCTGTATTGCATATGTGGTATGATCTCAACTCTTTAAAAAACTTACTAGTTGTGTGAACTTGGACAAGGTACTTGACCTCTCCATGGGAGGGCAGTAGTGCCTACCTTCTAGAGTTGTTGTGGGGGTTCCAGGAGTTAATATATATAAAGCACATAGAGCAGTGCTTAGCTCCTAGGAAGGGTTTTAGAAATGTTCATTATTATTATCTGATATTTGTTCTAATTGTCCTGTTCTGGGCTTTAGCTCCCCATCTGTAAAATGGAGGCTTTAAAACTGAAAATCAAGGTTCCCTCCTGCTCTGATATTTAGGATCCTATTACAAACCCATCACTGCCTGCCTTCTGTTGGTGACTTCTGTTCCTGGCTACTTCTCTCCCAGCCTCCGACTCAGCTTCTGAAGGGCAAAGCCCCTGCATTTTCCTTTTGTTTCCTGCCGATCTGCAGCACCCAGAGCAGTGCCTGGTACTCGGCAGAGACCCGAGCACTGTTGTCTGAATCGAGCTTAGACGGGGCTCAGCCGCCTGCGGTGGCAGCTGTTGGAAGCACTACTCTGTAAGCCCGAACGTGATGTGCAACGAGGCAGAACCAAGGACAGCTGAGGAGGTAGGCTGCCAGCCAGCAGAGGGGGGCGGGGAGTAAACTGGGCTGGAGTCAGAGAAGGAGCGAGAAAATGTAATGGCAAACCTGTGCCGCTTCGCAGCCGCCCCAGATACTTTGTACCAGAGCTGCTCCAGCCTGGGTGTAATGAAGACAAGCTAAGCAGGGGATCCGAGGTGGTGCTGGGGGCGCGGCCGCTGCTGCTCTTGCTGGTCCAGGAGAGGGCTTGGCTCCCTCTGTGACCAGCGCCAAAAGAAGATGGCAGGGACTCTAAGTACAAGAAAGCACACAGTCCAGATGAAGGAGGGGCCGGCGCTAGCAGAGTAGCAGGCTGAGTAGACAGAGGCAGCCTCGGGCTGTAGAAAGAGCATAGCCTGTGCAGGTAGACAGCCTTGGTTCACACCGGCTGCATCTCCGCATTAGCCTCCATATCCCCCCTCATCTCCGTAATGGGGGGATCTCCACTTTGCAGGACTGCTGTGAGGATTAATGTGTGTGAGATACCTGGTATATAGGAGGTGTGAGAGAAATGCGTGTGTGTGTATTTATAGTTCTGTTTGCTTCTCCTTTCTCTTGGTCAGGGTGGGGAGAGGGGAGAACGGCTTGCTAGTGTAACTGTGCTAGTGAAATCATTGTTACTTGGGAGGAAGAGATGATAACATTCTGGAAAAGTGGCCAGTGTTACCATAGTGAGGAGAACATCAGAGGCCATGGAGAGCAAGGTGCGCCAGTGAGCTCCTGGAGGGCGGACCTGTTCTATTCTGTTTTGTCCTCAGTGCCTGGTCTTGGCTCACAGTCTGTTGAATGCATGGTTGCAGAGTCAGGGAAGGTGGGCCCAGTCACACAGCTCTGGGCCTGTCTCCCTGCGTGTGTGTGAGCTGGGAGCAGAGGCCCCCCACAACTGGAGGGATGGGGCCCTCCATGGGTACCCTGCAGGGTGCAGGCTGTGTGACAGGAAGTGCCTGTTGACTCTGGCAGAAGGCCAGGAGAGGGAGACAAGCTGAAAGAGGAGAGTTCCTACCGAGGTAAAGCCTCGGTTCTCACAGCCAGCTCCTCTCCTCAGCCCTTCTACCATTGCCTACTTTAGATGGATTCCTCCCCCTCCAGTCTCATTCCCTGAGATCTGGGCCTTCTGTGCTTGGTGCTGGGTCTCCCATGTGGTAGGCGCAGAACAGTTACAGAATAGACCAGAATATAAGGGAGCCAAACTTTCCTCGAGTGTAGAAGCAGCTTTAGTGTCTAATGAATGTGCGACAGACAAACTAGAGAGGGAGGTGGAATAGAGACGGATGGAAGGACGTAACTCAGGACTTGCTTTTGGAATGGACACTCCACAAAGTATGTTTGCTGTACCCATTTTATAGAGAAGAAACCTGAGTCTCAGAGGATATACGGGTTGATCAGGGGTAGGTAGCAATAAATAGTAGAGCTGTCTGCCTGACTTACCAGACTGTTCTTTCCACCCTATCCAGTGCGGGTGGTGGTCAGGGAGAGCACAGACCCTTGGGTCAGATTGCGTGATTCTAGTCCTGGCTCCCACACTCAGGAGCTGTGTACCCTTGTATAAGTGGCTTAACCCCCCTGTGTCTTGATGGCCTCATCTGGAATATCGTATTATTGACCTCATAAGGTTGTTATATAAAGTGCTAATAGTGCTTGGCACAAAAATAGAGGCTCAATAAACGTTAGCTGGCATTATCACCACCACCACCACCATCATCATCATCATCATGTATGAAGACTTCAAGGAAGGAAGTAATTGTAAGATGAGTATAAAAAGGTTTAGTGCTCAAGGTAGGAACCTCAGGAGCTAGAGAGGGAAGTGTCTTCCCCACCCAGAATGCCAGGGACCAGTGCAGGATCTCAGCGTAGCTACAGAAGGGATTTGTAAAACTTGGAGCCTGGGAACACCAATCTGGGGGATCTGGAAACAGTGCTAGGCTGGATTGGTTCCAGATGAGGCTTCTGCTATCCGCTGCCCCAGACAGGGATTCAGAACGTGCACGTTCCAGCCTGAAGCAAACCCCACAGCAGCCACACTTGAGGTTTCTCTAGGGAACAAAATAATTCTTTGGTTTGGTTCTTTCCTTAATTTTTCCAATGACGCTTCTCTTGACATATTCTGTGTCTGCCACGAGGCATGGCCGTGGCTAGACAGGATGGTGAGGTGGTGCGAGTTCCTGCTTCAGACAAGGGAGTAGCTGCTGGAGTGAGGCGCAGAGAAAGTCAAGTGATGATCAGGAAGGAGAGAGCTGAGGCAGAGGCCACAGCTGGCCTGGCCCCTTCTAAGTGTGTGCCGTGCACGGTCACGCTGGCTCAGGGGGCCCGATTCCTCATGTGTGTGATCAACCTGCCCCTGAAAGTTGTTCTTCGAAATGGCATAGGCATGTCAGGTGCCTGCTCGGTGCCTGCTGTGTAACAGGTGCTCAGCAGGTGCTCGCTCGCTTGGCAGGTTCACTGGGCTGTTTCTTTCTTCCTGCCTTCCCACCTAGGATTTCCCTCTGCATCTCACAGAGCTGGCTGACTTGCTCCCATTCGTGGGCAGAGACTGAGGTCAGCAGAGGTGACATGAGGGCATGTGACCACCACTTGCTCAGAAGATCCCTGCCTACCAGAGGCTGGCTCCCAGGTCTGGCTCTGTCTTTGGGGCCCTCACCTCTGTGTCTGGCTGAATTGGTTCCAGCTGTTTTGCTTCCCCTGGGAGCAGCTTATTTTGGCTTGAATGGGCAATTTGTTTGCCTTCTCTCCTGATGTGCAGTTGTTCAGCCTTCCCTTCCTGCAGAGAAAAAAAGAGCTGACTGCATTTCCTCTCTCCCCGCTCCATGCAGACCTTTGGAAAGGATTTTATTGGTGGCCTTTTCCTGGAGCATTCAGGCTTGCCAGACATGCATTGTTAAAGGGTTAGATATTTGGCAAGAAAGTGTCATGCCGCCTCCTCCTCCTCTGCCTCCTCCTCCTCTTCCTCCAAGCAAAGCCAGCTCTCTTACCAAATTGGAGCTATAATCTATGTAAGGATCTTTTCCCCCCTTCGTTTCCGTGATGATTTCCAATTATGGAACCTTTGTACCTTTGTAATATGTGTGGCAAAACATCTGACCTTCACTTGAAACCCATCAAGCAGGGTCAGAGAGGAATTTAATAGTGAGAACTAAATCTTTTTTGACACTGGCTGTTCCTCTAAGAGGCCATACCTCCAAACCCCAGGGGCTTGCAGAGAGCTTAGAGGCAAGCGTAAACTGTATGGTCCTGCGCACAGCGTGATTGGCAAAGCATAAATGCTTTATATTATCTCATTTAATCCTCAGAGCAAATCGCTAAATTGGTGCTGTTGTTAACTCCATTTTCTAGATGAGGGAAGCTGAAGCCTAGGCTGAGCAGTTTGTTGGGAGGAGTAAGTGTGCCAGGTCTTTAACCCAGGCCTCTAACTTCAGAGCCTGTGGTCCGCTACCCCCCATGCTGCCTTCCTGCAGACCAGTGACAGTCTAGCCTGGTTTTAAGGCCACCAGATAAGATGATCTCATCTCTTCCTTTCAATACTTAGTTCCCCTTCATGTTAGCAACTTCTGTCTTGCACCCTAAATGTCTTTTCCTTCCGATTCAGCAGTTCTGTGTATAATCACCAGAGAGAACTATGAAGTTGATGATATTGTTTTGGAAAACTACCCCTTTTTAGGATTCTTCTTCCCCCCTCTCATTGTCCCTTACCGCTTAAAAAATTAATTTACTTACTTAATTTTTGAA